ACCCTTTTTGAGGATGAGGCTTTGAGAGCGAGACCGGGACTCTTGTCAAGAGAAGGTTTAAGAATAGTGGATTCATAAGTTTTAAGATTACCTCGAAGACCATCGATGGTGACATTGGTGTTACCAATCGACTCATATATGGCATCGGCTTTTGAACGCCATTCCGGTGTTAGGCTCCGAAGGATTTTTCGAACAAGATCTTTGTTCGAGTATGTTTTACCAAGGACATGGAGATCATTGATGATCTTTAAAAATCAGTCGAACATTTGATCAACACTTTCAATTTCCTTCATTTTAAACAACTCATATTCATGCGTTAGAAAATCAATTTTAGCTTCACGGACTTGAGGCGTACCTTCGTATGTCACTTCAAGCTTATCCCACATTTCTTTTGCGGTGGAGCAAGAAGAAATTTTCCGGTAGTCATCCGGGTTAGTTGCACAAAATATCATGTGTTTAGCTTTTTCAAAAGCTTCTACCTTCTTGATGTCTTCAACATCATATTCTTCCTCCTTCTTTGGGATGGTGATTTCACCAACCTTTTTCATTGGCATAGTCTCACCATTTTTGATGATTAACCACAGTTGGAAGTTGATTGACCGAATGTAAATCCTCATTCTTTCCTTCCAATAGGTGTAGTTTGTTCCATCGAAGAGTGGAGGTCTAACGGTGGAGTGTCCTTCGCTTAATCCTGCATACGACATTCTCAACAAGAAAATATAGATCGTTCTCTCAACCCGTTAAGGCTTTTAGAGAGTTAGGCTCTGATACCAATTGTTAGAATAAGTGACCAACGCTAGAGGGGGGGTGAATAGCGTTTGATCATAGAAATCGCAGGAATAAAAAAATTAAGCTTACGGGTGTTGGACGCTCGAGGCATCCAACTTGGCCAAGCGTCCAAGTTGGACGCCTTGAGGCCTTGGTCCATTGGGCTTCACGGCTGTTACGAGATCTTGGCCCCATTTCACTGATTTTCGGCCCGAATGTCGATTTTATCTTCTCAGAAGCTCGTTCAAGCCCGAAACTTGATCCTTTGATGATTTATTCCCTTTTTCTCAAGCATTTGAACATAAAATAGATAATTTATGATGATTTTATGTGGAATCCCTATCTATGACTCTTAGAACAAAAATGAGAGTTTTATCCATCAAAATCACATTTTATGAGATGATTAAATATTATTTATGTGCAATAACGTTTAGAATATGATGTAAATGATAAGAACGAAACAGACTTATCAGTTAGCCATCAGGGCACAACTCCAACAATATCTTAGAGTTTTTCTAGATATCCTTAATAGTTCATCATCAATTTCCAACTAGAGTTCTTCTAGATATTCTTAACAATACAATTCATTAATTCAAATCATTTCATAATCATCGATGTATTCATTTCAAATCATAGTTTAAATCATTCACAATAATAATTTAAATCAGTAGGTTCATCATCAATACATCATATTCATCCATAACCATAATCATCACAATATTTAATAACAATTAGCGGCCTAGCGTCGAGTGTTAACACTCTAGCTTACCGTCATGCATCACATAAAGTCCTCTTAATTGTCAACACAACATTTTTATTCCAAGAGATCATCTTTATAATAATCATAATTGGTTGGTATCAACAATAGGATTCCATAGTTCAAAAATCATGTTTTCTAAACAATAATTGATTAATATATGATAGGAATTCCAATTAATAGCTACTGGCTTCGTTTTCTTCAGTATGGTAGGATGATAATCGATTATCACTTCTGATAATCGACTATCTGAATTTCAGAATGGGGTGATAATCATTATCACATTCTGATAATCGATTATCATCTTTTGATTCATTTTCAGAGAAGTCTGACAATTGATTGTTACATTCTGACAATCGATTGTTGCTCTGTTGTGTTCAAAAAAATCTGCAGAAAAATGAATACTCAACTTTTAAGTTAATAATCGATTATTCATCATCTTCTTCCTCGAGTCACTTTTCGGAAATGTCATTTTTAATCACCGAACTTCAATTAGAGTATATGAAAATGTTCCCCAAAGTTCATAGATCATTTTGGCATCATTAATTCGTAATTTTAACATCAAATTCATGGTTTATGATTCTTAGTACTTCAAGCATGTCAAACAAAAAACTCAACCGAATGACCATTTATGAACGTAGAAACGACCTATATGAACATTCTAGTCATTAGATATATCTACGAGCTTACCTCAAAGCTTAACGAAGGTTTTAGAAATTTTCCAGTGAAACTTCCGGCGACGATAACTCTTATCTCCGGCGATTCCACACCAAATTGACAGCACCACAACACTCTTTACACTCAATGCTAACTCTCAGAAGAAATTTGAGGGAGAATGGTGAAGAAATGAGAAAGATTGAGTTTTACTTATATAATAGTTTTGATGAAGAAGAAGCCAGGAATGTCTCCTTCACAAATCTTGCGATCGGCGTAGTGGGGAAGGAGGCGTCGTCTAAACAGTTCCATGTATGGGACCAATTTTGGTTCTAGTCGGGGTACACTTTTTGGTCCAACTTTCTCCAAATTGAATTCTGTTTGCACCATTGCGATCAGAAGGTCGAATACTATTCAACGATATACTTTTCACAATTATTTGAAATACTT